GAAGACATTACTTAGGCAGATAGTGAAGGCATGGGAGTCCTCGGTAAGGCTTTTCTTTTTAATGACAAAGCAACCCCAAATCATTTTCTAACAATGAGCAGCCTGTAAAGTCGAGCTGCAAACAGAGACAAGCAAGCTGGGAGTCTGCATGAGGGAATGCCGATGGGAGCAAGGGACTAGACATGTTCAGGATAGCGGCTCTACCTTCCCTTCTCTGCCAGCACGTGTGCAGTGAAGAGCAGACAAGATGGCCCCGATCCACTGGAAAGTCCATTTGCATAATAAGATTAGGGTGGGGTGACCAGCCTTCCCCCATGCACTATGTAAACGCCATACCTGATCCAACCAATCTGTGAGGCCTGTGTAAATCAGACACCACCTTCTTAAACCAGACTATAAAATCCGGCGCATTGGCCACCAGCTGGTCCCTTCCACTTGGAGACCTCTTTCTCTTCTGCCTATCAAACCTCTGCTCCTAAACTCCTCGTATGTGTCCATGTTCTAAGTTTTCCTGGCGCACAACAAGGAAACCCAGGAATATAGACCCCAGACAACATAGCTGCTTCACTGCCATCCCTACTGCAGTTAATATGGGTCCAGCACGACAGGCCTCGTCAACTGCTCAAACAAGACACTCAAAGTGGAGCCCAGCAAATGCCTTTCTCCGCTCTTCAGAGTGTCCTGTAGGATTTCTTGAAAGGCTGAGCCTCAGCAACATGCAATAGTGAACTACACCCTACTGGAAAAATACGAGGAGCAGAAGGAAGGCCAACCTTGGGAATGAGAAGCCCTCAGGGCAGGTTTCAGGATACAAGAGGGGGGCCAAATCGTTCTTGGGCATTCTCATTTCACAAAGCAAAAGTGGCTAGTCCAGCAGAGGGCATGGCCCAGGAGCAGACAGCTCCCTCGGGTGCATTTTAAAAAACAAGCATGAAAGCCCTTCGACTTGGTGAAAAACAGACAGGCAGCCTTTTACCCTAAAGTGTACTCAACAGTGAAAGAAAAAGAAGTATGTTTCTTAGCAAAGAGTAGCCAGCTTCAGTCATCTGCTTCCTCACTGACGGTGGCAGTCAATAATTAGACCATGCATTGCAAGAAAATATCTGCAGCATATATACTGGATTAATCATTTCTTAAAAGATGGCCTAGTGAAAAATTAGCAAAGTCTGCACAATTCACCAAAAAAGTACACGTGTAGCTAATACATGAGCACAGCCTCATTAGTGATGTGGAAATGCAAATTGATAAGATCTGTGTCTCCCCCTCCTATTAGGCAGAAACAGAATCAACCAGTATCTAGTTTTTGTGAGGATAAAAGAAAAGCGTGTGGGTAGGGGGGTAAATTGGTGTAGTCTTCCTCAGGGAAAATTTGTCAACACCTATCAAAGTGTGTGCTGGGGCCCGGCAACAGAAGCTGGCTGAGGATGTTAATGTTGCTGATAGCAGCATCCACCTGGATGCACTCTCTGGTCGCCTTTCGTTCAGGGGTCCCCAGCACCCGGCCATGGACCGGTACTGGTCTGTGCCCTGTCAGCATCTGGGTTGCACAACAGGAGGTGAGCAGTGGATGAGTGAGCCAAGCTTCATCTGTATTTACCGCCGCTCCCCATGGCTCACGTCACCAGCTGAGCTCAGCCTCCTGTCAGATCAGCAGCAGCATTAGATTCTCATAGGAGTGCAAGCCCTATTGTGAACTGCTCATGGGAGGGATCTAGGCTGCAAGCTCCTTATGAGAATCTAATGCCTGATGATCAGTCACTGTCTCCCATCACCCCCAGATGAGACCATCTAGTTGCAGGAACACAAACTCAGGGCTCCCACTAATTCTACATGATGGTGAGTTGTGTTATTATTTCATTATATATTACAATGTAGTAATAATAGAAATAAAGTGCACAATAAATGTAATGCGCTTGAATCATCCTGAAACCATCCCCCTTACCCCATCTGTGGAAAAATTGTCTTCCATGAAACCAGTCCCTGATGCCAAAAAGGTTGGGAACCATTGCTTTAAGTCAGTAAGGAAAACCCAGACCAAACTTTTAGCCAAGACCAGCATCCACAGACAGCGGCTCCAGGTGCAATGTCATACAAAGCTAAAGCCTGACACTGGGTCTTCCTGAGATAGAGTGCAGGTGCAGTGCGATTCAGAAGCTGGTCCCCTACCTGGAGTCCTTCTCATTGGCATTTGTCCACTGCTACCGAGGAACATTCCTGTGCTCGTTTCTGTACCAGACACTGTGCCATGGGCGTGGTGCTCATCATCTCCTTAAGTCCTCACAATAGGCTGTGAGCGAGGTGATTATCCCCATTTCAGAAGGTAAGGAACGGACTCTGAGAGGCAAGGTTTTAAATGAAAATCAATAATCAGCTCCATCAGCTTCAGCTGTAACACAGATTGCTCTTCTTTTAAAGGTACAGAAGTAAAAGGATGGTTTTAAGGAGGAGCAGCCCGTGAATGTGAGCCGGGTGGGGGCATTTCTTTCCATAGCTATGTTTTCCCCTGAACGAACAGCTATTAGAGCCAGAGTGGCATTTGTTTACCAACTACAGGGGCTAGTGTGGTGAATGAAAGAGTATCTTTATGTGGTCATTGGAAATTTCCAGCCAAACTCCTCCACTTACTGCTGTTCAAAGAATAGCTTCCAAATCAACATTTAAAAACAGTTATTCTTCCAATAATTTAAGGTAATGTCCTGGGTGTTCATCTTGGGTACTCTAGAAGGGCTGAGTAGGCTGGGCCTTAGTACGGGGCAGGATGCATGGGAGGCTAAGCAGGGTGCACTTGTAGGAGGCAGCATGTCTCCGAACTGTTGGCTTTAATTTGTCTCAAGTGAGATGCGAATTGAGAGGAGGGTTTAGCAGTATTGGCAGCGTTTGTAAACATTTGTGACGTTATGTGACCTTGCCAGTTGACGTCGGCCAACTGACTTGTTGAACAGTCCAGGTATCTACAAACTTGTGGCCTGAGCCACCTACGATTTCTACACAACCCACAATGTGTCATGGTTTTGTCAGCTGTAAGCCAATAGAGTATGCAATTATGGAATTCTTTCTTTTCATCAAATGAAGTTTTAACTACAATTTGTCAAGGTAAACTGTGGCAATGGAAGGATGAAGGACTGGAGATGAATAAAGCACCATTTGCTTTAATTTGGATAAAACTTAAAGAGGAATAGCCTGAGCTTGATGAGTTTACTTCATACTCTTTTTCAGCTCCCATCAACGTGTCTCTGAGAGTGTTCTGTCTATCATGTGTTATTACAACAAAACATAGAAATCATTTAGGGAGACATTTTCCTCTATGAGTGGGGTTGTTGCTCAGTTAGATCAGCCAGAAAAAAAGTCATTGGTCATATTCAAAATACTAAATATTGATATACATACTGTTAATTTATTACATTATATAAAAGCATTATTTTGCAAGGTTTCAAAATTGAAAACAAAACTGAGCTTCACCACAGTTTAAGAGCCACTGCCCTAATGGGAATTCCCAGGCAGGGATGGAAAAGGGTGTGAGTGTGTGAGTGTGTGTGTGTGTGTATGTGTGTAACTGGGTAGCCAGACATAAAGGGAAGAGATAAAACAGCTCCCTTTCATCAATAAAACCACAATCGTCTTGGATAATTATATATTGCATAGTCCCCATCGTAAACAAAAACATTTGTTTCCATTTTGGTTGAAATGAAAGCTAACTATTTCTCTTTTCCAGGCTGGCTTTGCTGCCTGGTCAGTGAGCTCAGGCCACTAATGAATGGGTGGCATCCCAGGGTCTACCCACGAAAGACCCATTCTGACCTCCCAGAGCAAAACCCCACTGTTTAAAGGGCACAGAGGGCAAAGCCCTGGTGGCTTCCCTCCTTCCCTCCCTCCCTCCCTCCCTCTGTCTCACACCCATCTTCCTGTAAACCTTTTTGCTTGTAGAGAACCTGCCTAGAAGGTGAGCATGGCCCAAATATGCCCCTGACCACCACAGAAAGGCATCGTACCCAGCGCAGCTCTGGGGAAAATAGAAGCCTCCACCCAATAGCCCAAACCCTGCCCTCTCCTTTGGAATCCACTAGTCCTAGGCCTGGCCATCGAACTTTGGTTTTAATTTACTTGTGCCGCAGGGTGACTGACATGGGTTTTTTTCTTCTTGCTAGAATACAACTGCAAAGTGAGTCTTCATGTCCATGATGCGGAGGCCCTCTGTGGAACTCAGTGTCATTTGGAAGATCCCCAGTGGTGATGGGTAAGGATGGCAGCTGACAGTGGGCCTTCCCACAGGTCTTTGGGGAAGACAGAATTTAGAGCTGGGGGCCTCTGATCATCCTAGTCCTTCACACAACATTTCTCAGCGTGCCCTGAGGGGCAGAGTCAGTAAATGTGACCCCAAAGTCTGGAAGCAGGCACTCCCATTTCTCTGGTTTAGAAAGGGGCTGCAGGCCAGGATAAGAGATCATTTGGAATGTGTCCATTTGTGACTTTCACAATGTCAGATTAATTTGTCTTCTTTAATGTGTAAACTGCCAACATGACTTCCTGATTCTCTCATCTTTCTCGATTTCCCTTTTCATGGGATTTCTGTAAAGGGGTGACCCGTTGGTTTGTTGAGCACTCATGGGTCACAGGTATGGGTAGAAGGCAGGTCCCTTTAAGTGAAAGCTCACTGGCTCCACGTGGTCCATCCCCCTGTCTGTCTTTTGCCGGAAAAGCCTCCTTGGGATCACCACTGATGAGCATATCATGCCACAGTATGACTTGATGCCTATCACTTGGTCTTCAGTCCATCAAAAGAAAGGTGCTGGTCTCTGGTCCTGCCTGGAGTCAATGCTGACCTCAGCATTTGCTCTACTGTAAATTTTTGAGGGAGGTGAAGACAATGCTGCATCAAGCCAACCTACAAGTCGCTGTCCAGGGGAAGGTGTATTGCAATACGAGGCTCCCTAAAACCCCATCCATAACCTTGGTGGATTCCACAAAATGAAAAATACTATAAGCTGCCATTACACACGCTCTCCAATGCAAATTACATTCCCTAAGGATGCAATTTATTTTCTTTTCATTGTATTTAATTCCAAAAGAAAGGTCACACTTCTTTGCTAGGTAGGCAAGCTGTTCCAAAGGACACACTAGAGAAAGCACCACTCCCCACCCCAAACCACATTCCCAACACACTCACCTGTCCACACTCACACAATCACATACACACACCCACACTTACATACACATGCTGACACCTGTGCACTCATGTGCACACACTCATTCACACTCTTCTACACATTCACACTCAGGCATACTCATACGCCTCATGAGCACACTTACCTGTGCACACTCATACACATGCAGACACGGGCACACTCATACATGCTCACATGCTCATTTGCACCCAGACACAGGCATACACATTCATTTGCATGCACGCACACACTTTTTAATGTAACGATTTACAGGAAAGAACAGCTGGAACTCGCTGGGATAACCAGGTACGAGTGCTCTCTGCAGAGAATAATGGCACACAGGTTTGTGTCTTCTGACTGAGGGCCCTCCTGAAGGGAGGTCTGTACCTCCTCCCTCCTTTTACACAAGGCGACAGGTCAGAGGCCAGGGTGGGACCAGAGCGAGGGAGGCGTCGTCTCTGGCAGCAGCACTTACCACTCCACACTGTGGAGGCCAGAACAGCACCCCAGAGAACACTCATTTGCACAGGGGAAATGGCTCATCTTTCAAACAATGGCAGAAGAAATCCAGCAAAGGTCACTTTTCCTGTGTGAGCATGTTGAAGGCCAGAGAGTGGCTACTTCTCTGCCTCCTGCAACTCCCTCAGTGTGGCTCGGAGGAGTCGGCGAAGCTTCCAGAACACGCTGGGGGCGTCTCTCCGGGTGTTCCCGCTGGGGACCCCAGGGTCTGCACATTCCTGCACCGCCTCCTGTAACTGCAGCTGAAGCTGGAAAGAGACCGCAGAACTCTTGAGAGGTGCGGAAAACCAATGGCGAAATATTTTGTCACAGATGACCTGAGGGAAAGAAGGTGGGCAGTTAATTTAGGGCAGCAAATCCTCCTGAAAGCTTCCCAAGCCCAGGATTGGTTCTGAAACAGATCTCGGCTTCTCTCCCACCCCCACCCCCACCCCCACCCCCGTCCTTCAGGGAGCACACTCCAGAGACCATCCGATTTGGAAACATGCATTCACTTCTGCCCCTTAAACCCTTCAGCACCATGAGCAAGCGATGCCTCCGAGAGAAGCCAACGTCTGTGTGAGGCAGAAACGTCCCTTTCCAGCCCCCTAGCAGATGGACGAAGCTCTGGGTGACACTGTAAAAGGACTGGACACATTTCTAGGGAGGAAGGGAAGCAAAAGTCACAGTCACTGCTGCAGAAGGAGTTGGTCCTTTGCAGGCCTGAGGGAGGTCAGCTTTGCTGTCACCACCTGGAGACGAGATTTCTTATCCACAAGCCAGTCCTAGTGACCACATTGACCATCTGACCGGGTCGTCCAGGGGGCCAAACAGTGCATGAGGGAGAAGTGCGTGAACTTGAGTGACTGCCCGTGTAGCACTTTAAGGCTCATGAAACAAAGGTGTATTTGACAGAAAAGGCTGCAGGCATAAGAATCTTTGAAGGCTCTGTGAAATGTGTTATTCTAGGAGCAGAGGTAAAAATTAGACACTCTCTTTAATTCTCATCAGGTATGAAATTCAGTGACGCTGAGGATCCTGGAAATTTCTCCCTGTAAACATCTGTTTGTTTTGTAGCTCTGACAGCTTCCCCCACGTTGGGAGAAATGACCTGCCCCTGCATGGTGCATCATGCTTTATTACTCTATATCACACTTTATATCAGACTCAATTAACAAATGCCTCCCTTGTAAAGAGCTGCTGCTTCACAGAGGACAAAAACCTTCAACTTCTATTTCACAATCCCTGCAAAGGCAAGGATTCCTTTCAAAACCTAATTATGGCTTTTTTTTTTTTTTTAATAGAGAATACATTTTCATGTGCAAAATTTAAAATGTTCTTAAGGCTAGACTACGATCTCAGGCTCCACCTCACCCCGACGCTCAGCTCCCACTCAGAGAATGAGACATTCTTTGACATACACATTTCCTTTTTCTTTTATTTCACACATAGGTAATATATTATACACACTGTTCTCAATCTTCCACCCCCGTTTATATGAGGGAGATCCCTCCAAATTGATTTTTCTTTTTGAGACAGGCTCTCACTCTGTCACCCAGGCTGGAGTGCAGTGGCGCCATCTTGGCGCACTACAACTTTGACCTCCGTTGTTCAAGCGATCCTCCTACCTCAGCCTCCTGAGTAGCTGGGACTACAAGGGCATACCCCCATGCCTGGCTAGTTTTCGTATTTTTTGTAGAGACAGGGTTTTGCCATGTTGCCCAGGCTGTTCTTGAACTCCAGGGCTCAAGCGATTCACCCACCCTGGCCTCCCAAAGTGCTGGGACTGCAGGCGTGAGCCACAACGCCCAGCCATTCCCTCCAAATCAGTTCTTATGAGGATATTCCATGTGATTTAATGGCTACTTCTGAAATGTGTGCATGTGTCATAAGTTATTTGACCAGTTCCCTATAGATGGAATTAAGGTTGCATAATAACTTTTGCTATTATGAACAATGCTGCAATAAATGTCTTGCAGATATATGCTATTGCATTTTGTGCATGTGACTATGTTTCTAGAAATAGGATTTCTGGGTCAAAGGGCATGTGCATTTTTTGTTTTGATAGACACATTAAATTGACTCCGTAAGATTTCTTCTCATTTACACTCCCCAGCAATGTATCCAAGACTGCTCATCCTCCCTTAGCCACTCCAACACAAATGTCACAGATTCATTTTGCCAACAGATGGGTGAAAACGGTTCAATTTGCATCTTTCTTAGTTTGAGCGTTATTTGTGCTTCCTTTTCAATGAATGGTCAAGTTTATATTTTTGACCTTTGTTGTGTTCATTTGTAGATGCTCTTTATATCTTAAGGACATCGCCCTTGCTTTAGGTTGGTTTCCCAGAAAGTAGACTCTAAGACAGAGGTTTGCACACAGGGATTCTTTGAGGTCTGTCCTTGGGAAGCACACTCCATGAAACTGAGGAAGAAGTAAATGTGTGGGGCTGGGGGGGTCCCTGTGGAGTTGTCCCTTAGTGAGGCACAGGGGCCTTGGTGTCAGGCCCACCCTCTTTAACCAATCACTAGATGCTGCCCCTGGAAAGTGGGTCTCCCCTTGGCAAAGCTAGTCCTGGGGAAAATGAGCTCCAGCAGCCGGGGCTAAGCCCCCTTCCACCCTCTACATTCCTGGTCTATAAGAAGAACTCCAAATGTTTTACAAATATTCTCATTTAACTTTTAAATTTGCTCTTTTTTTTTTTTTTTTTTTTGTAATTTTGTTTATGCCAACATGGGTTTGTTTGTTGTGTGTGTGTTTTTTTTTTTTTCCTGAAAGATAATTAAATTTGTGAACTGTTCCTCTTTGGCTTTGTTTCATACTTACAAAGGCCTTCTCTATACTAGTATTTGAAACTCTCCCAGCTTTTTCTGGTACCTTAAGGATTTCTTCTTTTTATGTGTAAGTATCTGAGCCATCTGGAATCTAGTCTGAGGTCAGGAGGAGGGAGCTACCTTGGTGTTTGTCGTGCCCGGCAGCCAGTTCACCAGCACCGTTCACTGTGTGACCCAGCTGACCCTGCCCTGGTCTACAAGGCCCCCTTTATCAGAGGCTAAATATTTGTATTTCATTAGTCTATTTCTGAGATAGTTTTTATTCCATTTCATTGATTTGTAAATTTATACAGAGCAAGAATTTTGGGGGTAATTTGGGTTGAAAATGCAGAATATTAAGGCTGGGTGTGGTAGCTCAAGCCTGTAATCCCAGAATTTTGGTAGCTCAAACCTGTAATTTTGGGAATTAGAATTTTGGGAGGCCAAGATGGGAGGATCACTTGAGGCCAAAAGTTTGAGACCAGCCTGGGCAACATAGTGAAACCATGTCTCTGCAAAAAGTAAATTAAAAAATTAGCTAGGTGTGGTGGCATGCACCTGTAGTCCTGTTTATTTGGGAGGCTGAGGTGAGAGGATCCCTTGAGCCCAGGAGTTCGAGGCTGCAGTGAGCTATGGTTGCGCCACTGCACTCTAGCCTGGGTGATGAAGCGAGACCCTGTCTCTAAAATAAAATAAAATAGAAATAAAAAGTAAAAAACCAAGAAAATATAAAATAAAGAAAATTGTAATCCTACCTTCCAGAAATACTTGCTTTTGACATTTTGGTATATAAGGGATTATATACTATTTAACAGAAATGGAATGGTATTGTAAATATTAATTTGTAACCTGCATTTTTTTCACCTAATAATGCTTCATATTTTCTCATATCCTTAAAGAAAATGTAATTTCATTTTCAGGACTTTATTCAAAGTCAATAATCAGATATGTGCACAAATAAAATTGCTCAGCTAAAGAGCATGGCTATGTCTAACAGCCACGACCCCTCAAGAGAGAAGTAATTCACAATCACGTTAACAATATAGACACTTTTCTATTTCCCTGAAGCCTCAACTGTTAATTAATAGCATTTAAATAACTACTCCCAACTGGTAAGTGAAATTTACAATCATTGGATTTTAATCTGAATGTCTTTGAATGGTAAGATAAAATGTTCTTCCGTCGGGCGCGGTGGCTCACGCCTGGAATCCCAGCACTTTTGGGAGGCCGAGGCGGGCAGATCACGAGGTCAGCAGTTCAAGACCAGCCTGACCAACATGGTGAAACCCCGTCTCTACTAAAAATACAAAAAAATTAGCTGGGTGTGGTGGTGGGTGCCTGTAATCCCAGCTACTCGGGAGGCTGAGGCAGGAGAATCTCTTGAAACCAGAAAGCAGAGGTTGCAGTGAGCCAAGATTGCACCACTGCACTCTAGCCTGGGCAACGAGAGCAAAACTTTGTCTTTTAAAAAAAAAAAAGTTTGTCCAAGTTGTTTGGCCATTTGGATTTCATCGTTTGTGTGTTTGGTGCCTGTTCTGCCAATTTTCTTTGTGTTCATCTTGCCCCTTGATGAATTGGTAAGAGCCCTTTCTATAGAAAGGGTGTAAACTCAGCCTCTCATTACATCGCAAAGAGCAGGCATTTGTGTTCCTATTTTGTGGGTTGGGATCACGAGGCGGTGGACGCTCAGGTGAAAATTATCTTCTTCCCACAGCTCAAGAAGAATGATTTCATGACGGACTCACCAAGGGTGTGAGTCCACATTAAAGAGGCTGGGATGGAGACGCCTCTGCAGGCCGCTACATTCCTAGGCTTCCTGAAAGGGAAATGCTCAGTGATTCTTTGGCCTAAAAGGTCTGTGTAGACTCTGGGGTGGTGGAGTCGGGGTGTTCGTTTGGCTTGGTTGGGACCACTAGGTTAACAGCAGACCTGTCCCCACCTTCCCAAATCATCCCCCATCACGGCTGATGCAGCACCACATGGGGCTCCTCTCTCCTCTCTCTCCTGCTCCCACCTCAACTGCATTTTGGGTCTGCAGTGGGCTCACATTGGCCTTTCAGGTTTAAGGAATGAGGAGGACAAGCTACAGTGGAGGGCCCTCTAGGAGAGTGGGTTGGATAGTGTGGGTCCAGAGCCTCCGCAGGCCATTTCATGCAACCAGGCCATAGGGGAGGTCTGCCTAGACACTGCGGGAGCCTCCTCCGGGTATGATCAGCACCTGTGGGCCCAGATGTCTCCGCCGTCACCTGAAAGCCTCAAGTGAGGGCAGAAAGAGACAGCTTCTGCCAAAAGAGGGGAGATGCTCCAACCCCAGATGGGGGACCTGAGACCCGCCAGCTCTGACTGCCTGAACCCTGTATGTATTCCATTTGTGGCTGATCTCCTGGACTCGGCTCCTTTCTTCCTCTCTAAATCACCTCCTGGTACTGACCTCTGGCCTGTCTGGATGGTAGTTTCTGTTCAACCTCTAGTTAGGCCAGTGTCTCGGGACTGCTTCGCACCCTTCTCAGTATTATCTTTGATGGATTAGTCTCAGGGTTCTCATCGTGTATGTGCCCATGCTTATGAGAGGTGGTAGATACGTGGGGTGGAGCCTGGGCAAGAGGAAGCCCAGCAGCCAGCTCTGCAGGAGCTCCCTCATCAGATGCCCCTGGTCGCCTGGCCAACAACCCTGGGGGTAGGCAACCAAGAGCACATGATTGTCCCATCCCCACCCTCCTGCCTTTATTGACCACATCGAGCCAGATGGATGGCCTGAAAAGGTTGACCTTGAGCTCCACTGAGGGTATCTGAAGTGCCAGCAGGCAGAAACAGCCAGACAGCGCCCTCTCTCCCCGCAGCTCCGGCAGCCTCTGCTTACCTGCAGGTTGTTGTTGACGCGCTGCGCTCCGCACTTGTTGACTCGTAAATCACATCTTGAAAAACAGTCAAAGAAATTGCAGTCTTCATCGTCTGTGCAATTTTGCTCAAGGATTTCCCTCATTTTAGGTTCAAAAAAGGCCATGTCCACATCAATAGCCACCACCTGTAATCAAAACAGCATGGGGCTATCAAAGGACTACTGGTGGGCTCCGCGGAGAGAGAGCCTGTTCACAACTTCGGTTCACCTCGTGCGGGTGCCACTGTCCAGGTCACAGGTGATCCCACAACTCCCATGAGCCAAGAGGAAAGCCCCGGCCATGCCCTGGGGAGTGGATTGATCCCCTAAAGTGTCTGCATGCATTTTCTTTTACACAGGCGACTGTCATAGTTACAGTGGAAGGCTTTAACTGCAAAAAGGACCTCTGCAGCCACCAGTGAAAGCCCAGGATTTGGAACTATCACCACAAGTATCACTTCTCGTCTTTAGTCATTTTCTCAGCTTTGCAAGTAGCAACTCTGAGAGGCCTTATACATGAATTTCCCCTCCGCTGCCTTACCACGTGGGTCTCTGACCTTCAAGGGTCAGGATTCTAAAAGCTGTAAGATACAGCGAATCTATTCCCGTAAATACAGGCAATCCAGGGAATCCTCGTTTGAGTGGCGGGTCTCCAGGTGTGATGGAGAAACTGAGGTGGGCAGTGCCTACATTCTCTTCATGGCATGTCTGTTACCTGAGTCAGCTGGTTTCAGACTGACCAGTCAGACGACAAAGTGGGGGAAATATCAAAGTTCTCGAATTAGGACTGATACACAGAGGCCCTGAACAGGAGCGACGCCTGAGTTCCACTGTCATCGTGAGAACCTAATGACCACTGGAACTTCAGATTTATCTTCCTGGCATCGAACCAAACAGACTTCAAAAACAGAGAGAGAATAACTTCTAAATTATGTAGCTCTTCCACCGCCACCTGGATCCAACAACAAAAACAGATGAGCTCAAACCTGAGAAAACCTGGAATCTGCCCAAATCAAGCCGTTTATAGCTTCGAGGTATTAAACAGCCACTAGGAAAGTTGATGAACTTGATGGAGTCAGTGGCATTTCACAAGCCTTCACAGGTCAGCATTGAAATATCAGCCTTTCTTTTTCCCTCTGGGAGTTTCGAAAAGGGTTTCATTTGCTGGTCATTGCCTCTTCAATCCTACGCAGTTTGGGAGGCACCTTTTGGTTTTGGTTTTAGTTTTTCATTCAGGATTGATGCTAGAAGGCAATGAAGTTTCTTGGGGATTATTTAGTAAAACAGAGCAGGGGAGAATAATTTAGTTCAAAATATGTGGAGAATAATGAAGATAAACAATACAGACAGACCTTTTCTCTATTTAAGGGGTTTTGCCTAATTACTAATTCAGGCGCTGTAAGCAACTTCTCATTTTAATCTTTCCTATCCCATTATTTAGCCAAAACAAATAGCCGATTTCATTATTTACCCCGGTTAATACACTAAAAGTGAATAAGGACTATGCTAATGAATCTCTCATCTTTATAATTCATTATTGGGGCTACACGACTTTTCTATTCTTTCTATGGTTTCTCGCGATCTCCCCAGCCTCCCCCGGGCCCCTACTTAGAATTTTAGCTTCTTGCAACTTCTCCTTCCCATTTCTGATAGTTTCCTTCTCATCTCCCAGGGAGAGCCAGATTTATTTTTTTAATTTTTAGTGTATGGGGTCTAGAATGGATTACAACTCTTATAAACATAACCCTATGCACCTAAAATAAGAACAGTATTTAAAAAAAAAAAAAACAAAAAACCTACATCATGTTTCTTAATATCAAGAGAATCATAAAGTCCTTCCTGCATAAAATTACCTAACTTGCCTCTTCTTCTTCAAACTTCCTCCTGGCATCAGAACAGGAAGATGAATGAGAATTATTTCATTCTTCACCAAAAACTGTGGCCCTGGAGTAGGAAGCCATACCATCTGTTGGAAAAGATCACTGACTGGCAATAGTTTCGGATCATGAAGGTTCCTAGTTATTCATTTACAGCCACTGGACACATTCTCAAGATCTGCAAGTGTGCAGACGAGAGAACGACTGTGAATGACCAATTCTTACACCTCCACTGGGAGGCGCCCCTTCCTTCTGCCAGGGCAGCCCAGCAACCTGGGCTCAAAGGCAGGGCCCACCTGCCGGGACTCTGAGATCACTAGCTCTCAAACTTGAGCACACATGAGAATCAACTAGGAGCCTTGTTTTGAAGACCGGGATTGCTGGCTCCCACCCCCACCATTTCAGATTCAATAGGTCTGACGTGGTGTCTGAGAATTTGCATTTCTAAATGAGCTCTCTGGTCATGCAGATACTGCTGGTTTTCACTTAAAAGTTGCAAAATCTTGGGTAAAATAATTCCTTGAACTTCAGGGTCTGCAAGAAGGGTGGAGAACAGGACTGGTGAAGGGGTCTCCTCCTGCCCTCCCCTCCCTATTCTTGCCCAGGCCAAGGCTGCAGTGGAGGTAAGAGCCCTGAGCGGTGCAGCACCAGCCGACAAAATACAGTCTGGTGCTAGGTTGAGGATGCACAGTCACGATTTCTTTGAACAAATATTTTCTGCTGATGGTGTGCAAGATACTGGAGGCACAACTTAGGTGGTTCCCACAAACCAGTAACTGGATAATCAACAAGTGTGTAAAAGCATCTGATGTCGCCCACTCGGCATCACAGACCCCATCAGCCTCTGCTCCTTCAAGAAGCGGATATCCTTGAAGTTCCCGCAACAATTACAGCACCTGCTGGGTCCCACTCATTGATGCCCACTGATACCTGCTGGAGGAATAAGGGAGTGACTGAGTGGCGAGAACTGGCCCGCAGCTGCCCGGAACTGGGGGAGGTGGGTTGTGCGTGGATACTCCCTGACTTCCTCCTCAAGGCCTCGGTGTGGCTGTGGGTCATTCCCCCTGACACACATATCGGGACAGTGTCTGGGAGATGCTCAGGGTATTGTAGGCGGGGCTGAGTTCCCCCCGAGCTCCCAGCCCAGCACACAGACCTCCTGGAACCTCCCAGAACCTCCTAGCTATTTCCCTGACATCGCTGACTGGTCAGCCCCTCCAGGGCAGCAGGAGGTGAGGCATTAGGACAAAGCACTCAGGGCAAGATATGTGATGCCCTTCACAGGAATGAGGGCATTACACTGGCAGCAAATTTAGTTTTCCAGCTGCCTTCAGAAGACAATGCCACTCCTAGGCTACCTGACTTGGAGGCCATGACTGGCAGTCACAGTGCCTGCTTTTTGTCCCTTTATGTTGCAACCATGCTGAAGAGCGTGGTCCCACCATGAACCAGGCCCCACAGTGACCAGCACGCCCAGGTGACTGGAGCTAAGCTGGTCTGGCCGTTCTGCTGCCGGCACTGGCCGCGTAAGAATGAACTTGTTACAGCAGGCGGGGGAGCAGAGCATGCCACCTTCCCCAAACCCATCCTGCAGCCACGACATCCCTGCCAGTCTTATTACTACTTCCTGTTGGATGGTCCCAGTGCCTGGCACAGCATGAGGGCACCGGGATGATCGCAGCTGCATTAATCTGACACATCAGTGTTTGCCTAGCTGGGTGAAGGGAGAGGGGTTTGTGTTACACGGAGACACTGAGGCTCCTGCTGCTGTTCTTCCACACCTCACTGTTCTCACACAGCCGCCTGGCCCCAGAGTGGAGATGAGCATGCATGTCCCCTGTGGTGCAGTGGCAAGTATTTCTACCTGGGCAGGGCTTTCCCTTGTGGAAGGCACTAAAACCCCATTTGTTCCTCTAGAAGTCTTACATATGGAATAGAAACTGACTGGAACCTCTCCAGACAAAAAGCACTGGGGAAAGTTACTAGATGTCACAGAGCATGGGCAGCTTGAGAACAGCGTCCCCACACCGGAGGCCATCCTCCCGCATCGTCCTCGGCAGCTCCTCGCCTCCTGTGGACTGTTTTCTGCACAAGTTAAACAGACCCGCAAGAGAGGTTGCTGTTACGTGAGCTCGAAGCAGCCACAGAGCTCAGGTGAAGGAAGCAGAACAGCCTTCTGGAAGGACAAAGCTGGCCCAGCCCTCTGCCTCCCACTGGAGGCTCCGTTCATTCAGATTCTCACTCGAGATGCATCTGTTCCTTGCTGACACCCGAAAGGACGTGTTCTGGTAGGTGGGAGTTCTCTGAGGCTACAGAAGCGATAGTAGTTTGCTAACTCAGGACACAAGCTCAGAAACCTTCTCATTTCCTTGCCACCAGACCCGAGAGCTCCATTCTCTGCACAGAAACACACCGCCCTGCGCCACTTACTGTGAAGTCGCTCCGGATGGCAAAGTTTTCCGGCTTGATGTCGCAGAGATGGAGGCGGTGGGAAAAGTCACTGTCAAAATGGTTCACCATGTCCAAGAAGCTGAGCGCGATGTCACTGATGGCCCTGGCCTGGCCACCCCCAGGGGCACCTGGGACCCGGTCCAGGGGGAAGAGTGCCCTGTGGTGGGGGCTGCCCGCGGCGAGGAACTCCACCGCGTAGAAGTGGCCACAGGAGCCCAGCACAGGCAGCACGTGTGGGCTCAGGTCCTGCAACAGGCTGAAGTACACGTACTCCTCCTGCTGCAGCAGGGCCCACAAGCTGGCCAGCTGTCCCCGCCAGCGCGGGCCCTGCCTGCCCGGCCACCATGGCCCCAGGCTGCTGTTGGACAACTCCAGGCCCAGAGCGCTCTTGACCTCCCCAGCCACCATCAGGAGGAGTTCTGCCTCCGGGATGTCCTGGCCACCCTCCCCTGCCTCCTCTTCCAACAGGCTGAGGGGCGGGAAGCTGGAGAAGGCCTCCTCCTTGGACTTGAGGACCACGGGCCGGCCGCGCCAGTCGGCCTGTAGCACCTTCTTGCCCCTGTCGTAGTGCAGGCAGCGTTGGAACAGCAGCTTTCCCGCCACACACAGGTCCTCGCAGAGGTCCCCAGCCAGCGCGCCGCCCCGGTAGTCCTGGCACTGCAAGGAAGGGAACAGTCAGTCACCATGGGGAGGGCCAGGTGCCGTCTGTCTCTCGGCTGGGGTTAGGGAAAGGGACAGCCTGGCCTCTGCCCTCAGGATGCTGATAAGCCAACTGTGCAGAGAAACCTCAGTCCTGTGGATCACAGAGGCCACTCAGTCAGTAATTCAGGGGAAGGTTAAAGGAGCTGCTCACAGTCATTACACGACTCAGTTAGGCCTAGCACAGGTCTGCAGAATCAGGACACCTGCGACCGGGAAGCGCGACTTCCTATCATTCAGCTGGGTGGCTCTGGGAAGCCAGAGGCCAGGAAACCAACAGGTGAAGGGCTGGACCAGGCCAGTAGCTCTCGACTCTGGCTACACTGCAGGGTCACTGGGGGAGCTTCTAAGTCTCACATCTAAGCAGCTAGGTCAGGTCTCAGCAGAGGGGACCCAGGAGCCCTATCTGCCCGCAGGCTGGTCCACAGTAATGACCCTTCCTGCGGTACATTCCTTGGGCTTTCCACATGAAATGGAGTGGCCTGTAAAGCTTTCAGGCTGGAGGTTTGCAGATGTTTACAGGAGAAGCCTCTGGAGGATACATGAGTGAGCACAGGGCTCATGGCTGGTGACCTGGAGAAGAAGGGGGACCAAGGAGGACCCATGCAGGATACATTCTGGAAGAGTAGGGCGTGTTTTCATCTGGGCGGCAAGCAAGACTGTCCACGAGTCCCCAGATGGGGTGTTTCTCCTAAACTTCAGGAGACCTTAGGATGGAGCCACTAGCGGACCTGGCGACCTTCCCCACCACACCACAAATTCCCTGAGAAGCCCGTCCAGCCTGATAATCCTGCCAGAGGCAGGGAAGGAAGAAGTGAAGTATTGAAGGAAGGAGAGGACTGTCATCCTCTTCTCTCTTTTCTTTTTCAGAAAATCTAAACCACGGGACCACTTTAATTAGGGGTTGAGTATATTTCCTAATCCCACCCATTTCCCCAACAAATGAGTCTTCCTCCATGTCAGCAAATGAAGGCCTGTCTTCCTTCCGGAAACTTCTACAGCACATGAAACAACAGAGTCACCTCGTTCCTCTAAGGCCATGAGAAATGCCAAATCCCAAAGCTGTTGTTCTCACCCCATTTCATGTATGAGAAAGGACCTTGAAGTCTCAGCGGTGGAAGGGCAGCTTTGGTGCCAGGACAAAGGATGGGGCCAAGGGCCACTGAGCTTGGATTCCATGGCCCAACCTTGCTGCCACATCCTCACCTGCTCTGGGCCTCAAACTCCTTTCCTGCGTCGCACCCCCTGCCTCCCTGCATGGTGACTGTACCGGCCAAGAGGGAAGTGTGCGTGCATGCCACAGCATATGCACGAGCACCAGGCATCAGGAGAGGCCTGAGAACAGCCTTGGGTTCATAATTGGATACTGCCCAGCCTTGCAGGTGGCCAGGTAGATCAACTTGACCCATCCCAAGCAGGTTACAAGCAGCTCCTTGAGGTCAAAAGCTGGACCTCTAGTGTCTAGACGTATAAATAATTCCAAAATCAGGAGCATGGTGGCTTACCCCTGTAACCCCCGCACTTTGGGAAGCCAAGGCAGGCAGATCACTTGAGGCCAGGAGTTCGAGACCAGCCTGGCCAACATGGCGAAACCCCTTCTCTACTAAAAATACAAAAATTAGCCAGGCGTGGTGGTACATGCCTGTAGTCCCAGCTACTAGGGAGGCTGAGGCAGGAGAATCACTTGAACCCATGAGGCACAGGTTGGAGTGAGCTGAAATTGTGCCACTGCACTCCAGCCTGGGCAAAAGAGCAAGACTCTGTCTCAAAAAAAAAGAAATCCAAAATCAAAAAACCTCTGAAAACTTACAAGTTTTTCATGACTCATTTGACCTTATGTGGTGTCAAAACCCGGCTGAAAAGTTACGAGCCTATTTGTATCTATATGTGTTTGACTTGGTGTGAATTCACATCCATTTTGCCGCAGAATTATTAACTTCATTACTGGCACTGCCCCACATGCAAAATATAAGGTAGTATATGATCTTTCTAACATTCAACAAGATTTGAATTTTGAGACACACCTGGCCCCAAACCATTAGATAAGAGAGGGACTGGGGGCTTTATAAACACTGCAGGCTAATCGTTCAAAGTGCTTATTGAAAAGAAACACTCCCAGACTCCCAGTGCTTAAAAGAAGTATCTAGATATTTTTCAGGACTATTTCAGGTAGTACAACAGCCTGAAAGGCCAAAGCCAAGCTGTCTGACTGCCCCCCTGGCTTCCTGCTGAGATGGGGGGGATCCTGCCAGCCACTGCAATTTAGATCTCTGTAAAATGCATTGGGTGGGGGCGACGGGGGTCTTGCTTGGCTAACACAATGATGCAAGCGAGAGAGACCTATAGACAGAAACTCATGAACCTGGCCCTGGAGCTAGGGACACCACCCTATTTGCCTGGGGCTGACTTTGTGTCTTTGGAAACCCACATCCGTAAGGAAGTTGTATGAACATACACTCACCAGCTGCTTTAAACACCTTTGGAGTTGTGCACCTCCTGTGTTCATCTTGGAACTGAACTGAACAGAATCTTGGTTAAATGTCATTCTTTGGCTTTAACCCTGGTCACTCTTTCCCAGGCACCGGATCATGAAAGGCACATGGGAGGATCCAGACCCTTCGTGCCCAGCATGCTTTGCTTGCCATCGCCTCCACATCGCCCTTCGGAAGAACGCGGCAGCTGGTCAAGCTCCTCTGAGACCTTTCAGGAGAGCCCTGAGAGGTGAGGTGAGGACGAATGATAAGGAACTGAGGCCACCATGAGCAGGAAGATATAGATGGCATAAGCAGCAAGGGCTGTTCATTTTACTTGTTGGGGTTTGTCCCCTACTAGATCTGGTATTTACAGAGTTTCACGTCTCTATAAATCTGATAAGAAAGTGCAAAGCAAAAACAAAAAACAAACAAACAAACAAACAAAACATTGTTTCCTGTTCTCCTTTTAAATTTAAAAAAAAAAAAAAAAGCTTCTGTAAGTATGATACCCAAAATAGTTTGGTTCACTCCCATAAAATTTTACAATGTTCTCACATATTTAATGAAAAGTACTTTTCCATAAAGTAGAGAACAATTGAAAAAGAAAGAAAAGCACAGAATAGGACTCCAGTGTAGCCAGAGGTGTGACCCTGAGCTGGGAGCTTCAGAGTCCTGCAGTGCTGAGGAGGGGAGGGCGGGGAGACATGGTCCTGGTTGCAACTGAGAGAGGAGGCTCAGGAGAGAAGTGTCAGAGAGACACAGGGCCCTGTTTTCTATTAGCCTGTGATAAGCAGAGTGAGGAGGGTGCCCACTGTGACTGCCAGGGCCTGAGAGACACCTGCCAGCCAAGAAGCCACCTCCTCTTGGCTCCACTGGGATTGGGACTGGGCCACCCCCAGATCACCAGCGCCAGCTTTCCCAGCTGCGCCTGAGCCTGGACGGGCCACCATCTGGCCACAGCCGCCAGACTCCGGAGTTCGTGGAGCAGAGGGGATAGCCTTTGAAATTCCTAAATAACATTAGAGTGACAGGGCAGGGCCACAGTGAGGCTAAGCTTGGCACAGATTGGGTCTGCCTCTGGGTTCTGCCCCTGGCTTGCTGTGTGACTCGCTTCCGAGTCTGGAAAATGAGGACAATGGTGCCGTGTCATGGAGTCAAACAAGGTCACAGGGAGACAGTCCTACCACAGTGCCCGGCCTAAGGTGGCTCGCTCAAGGCTAGTCCCCTCTCCAGCCCTGGTTAGGAAAGGGTGGGGGGTCAGGGCGTCTTCTTCCTGGGGGAGATGCCTCTGAGCTCAATTTTGAAAGAGGAGTTAGAAATCTGCCTTAGCAGGCAAGGGAGAGGCCAGCTGAGTCACGGAGAAGAACTTGTGCAAAGGCCCCAAGTTTCAAAGTAACCCTGTGTGTTCAGAGACCCAGAAACGGCCCCTGGGAGGAGAGGGCACAGTTGAAGCAAGCGCCTACTGACAGGCTGGGCTGCTGTATGTGAAACACCGTTCGGGTGTCTCCATCGGACTCACATGCTTCCTACCCAGCCTGGCCAAATCAAAATTTGCCCAGAAGCCAGCCCCACCCCTAAGTGGAATTCTTGTCTTCCTCCCCTACCCCAGCGCTCAGTAAATCATGGCCATGTGAGAGCGTCACTGGGTCAGGTCCCCACAGCACCGTGTTTAATACAAACTGTGCCTCATCAATGAAATACAAATCTATACGAGATTTGCCCCTGTGAATTTGGAGGGCAATTCCAAACAGGAGTTGTGAGACATTTAGAACAATGGTGTAACTGTTGAATTTGGCATCCAGCCTATGGGTTTTGGAAGGAAACATTCATTTTGGCTGTTTTTCTGAAGATCAGAACATTGACTTCCAAGCCTGCCTCCCTGACGCCTGCTTCTTGCTGCGACACTGGGTATCAGAAAGGGCAGAAAGTGCAGGAGGTGACGAAAGCCTTAACCAGACCTGCCAGCTTCTACAGGTAAGGTCTTGGGTTTATAACCTAACTTTTCAGTATCCCGGTCACTGCGCTTGTCCTAAGAAAGCATTTACATTACAGCGACGCATGCCCAAAAACACACACAGCTCTTCCTCAACTTACAACGGGTAATGTCCCAACAACCCCAGAGTAAGTTGAAAATGGGTTTCATACCCCTAACCCACTGAGCATCACCGCTTAGCCCAGCCTACCTTCAACATGCTCAGAACACTTACAGCAGCCGATGGCAGGTCAAAATCATCTCAAACAAAGCCAATGTAAAATACAGTGTTGACTTTCTCATGTAATGTATTGAATACTGCCCTGAAAGTGAAAAACTGAATGGTTGTATGGATCCTCAAAGTGAGTTCCTACTGAATGCATCTCACTTTCACCACATCATAAAGTTGAAAAATCGTAAGTGAAATCATCATAAGTCAGGGACCGTCTGTATACAAGTGTGGTTATGGCACAGATGTTCCTTGATATCCTTTACAATGAAGTATTTTCGGCGTTTCAGTTCCTACTCTTCTTATGTAGAATGCAAAATTCGTCTCCCATGGCTTACCAGTGTTAACGTCTAAGTCTGCAGCATTGGTCTGCATGTCTGGGCCTGCTAAGCACAGAAAAAGATTTCATCCAGCCTTTTAAAAAAAACAGTCAACTTAATGTACAAATTGCAAGTTTGAATTTAAAATTTTTATCAGGCCAGGCACAGTGGATCATGCCTGTAATCCCAGCAGTTTGGGAAGCTGAGGCAGAAGGATCACTTGACCCTGGAATTCAAGACCAGCCTGGGTGGGCAATATGGCAAGAGCCCTGTCTCTGCAAAAAAAAAAAAAAAAAAAAAATTAGCTGGGCCACACTTATAGTCCCAGCGACTTGGGAGACTGAGACAGGAGGATTACTTGAGCCTGGAAGGTAGAGGCTGCAGTGAGCCACCCTGTCTCAAGAAAACAAAGGAAAACCCCAAAAACTTTCATCATCTTAAAGATAATAGTAGAATTATTTTATTAGCAGCATGTCCTATTGAAGTAGCTGGGTTTTTTGGTTTTTAAACTCAATAGAAGTAGTTTATACAGGTCTATTTTAAAAGGTAGCCTTTCTCAGACTCCTCTTTGCGTAGGAGGAGTTCCTAAGGCCAGCTTAAAGACAGGTACATTTTTTGTACCCAAATGTGTGTGTATATATAATCCACAGGTATTGGAGTTGGAAATAAACTGAAAAAACAAGTTAGTCTCATTGCAGCTAACTCTGGCGTGCTGTTAAAATTAATTACATTTGCAGTGGATTTGTGCTTCTCATGGATGTGAAAATATCCACACAGATGCACATTCCCATCAAATCAGTCCTAGCTTTTGTAAGAAGCACTCTTTGCAATCATTGCTTAGTATCTTTCTATGTCATGGTTCTCAGGCAAAAACAAAACCGGTCCACTCTAGTGTAGAAAAACTGTTGATAAGGTCCCAGAGGTCATGTCTGAGGGCTGGGTTTTCTTTTGTGTGTTTGTTTTTAAGGAGCATTAAGCTCCTATGCAGTTTAGCAACACTCATACTTGACAGTGGTATTCTTTCCGAAGCAGCGATGCTGTGCTTTGCGGAATCTCAGCGCGGTTAGCTTGTCCACTGTGTAACCCCTCTCTACTTTAGGAATGTGGCCGAGCATTCAGGCAGAGTCATTCACTGCTGAGAAATCTCTCTGGGTATGTGCCCTGGATGCTGTAGTCCCGTTGGGACCTCAACAGTTTCTATCACAGAGGCAAAGAAAGATAAGCCTGCCCTATTAAAAACGAAGCTCTAATGTAGACAACTACATGAAATTCCATCAAGACCTAACTAGCCAAAAGGCAGTTAAGCCTTCAGGATAACAGTCTGTGGGAATATCTTTGACATGCTTTGAAAATGATTTGCTATGGAAGGGTTAAGTATACGAGGTGTTACGTAGGGTTTCCATTGTTAGAGAAGCCGCTTACCGTCACGTCATTGCTACCATCAGACTACACAGAGTCATGTCCTGGTTCCTCACCATGTTAACTGTGTGAAGCAGGGCAAGTCACTTCACCTCCCAGGGGCTCAGTTTTGCCATCTGTGAAATGGGGATACTAAAAGCAAATACTTCATAGATGTTGTTGAGGGAATTCAGTGAAATAAGCCCCATGAAATGATTCACACAGTGCCTTCCCAGAGGAAGAGTCAACAGACAGCAGCCCACATCTTCTGCCTCTGTGTGAAGGGCTCAGCCTGCAGAATGAATGAGAAGCCAGGCGTATCAATGATCCAGCACCAAGCTAGCCCCCCAGCTGGCGAGGCCTGCTGACACAGCCCACTGGAAAAGCGGGGCTCCAGAGACCTGAGTGCACCTATTTCTTGATTACAGTGTGTTGTTCCTCTTCAAGCCGCCGGTAAGAAGAGCCCTAGAGTCTGACCAGGAAAATCTGAGCTGGAAGACCCGGGGCTCAATTCCCTTGGAACAATTCAGGTTGGCTCTTCTAGAAACTTGTCAGTGGGATGTGGTTGGCTAGAGTGGAACCTGCCTGGGGAGGTGGAGTGTGGGCTTGGGGAGAACATGGAGACCTCTGACCCCTATCCCCTGACTCACCCCTAAGCTTCTTCCTCTGATTCCTTTATCCTACAGGTGGGTTCACCCCTGGCAGGCCAGCAATGCCCCCTGCCAGGCAGGAGCCTGGGAACACTGGCAGCCCCTGCTACCGGGGGTGGGAAATCCACCACAACTCCCTGGGCTCTGCCAGAAAGTCTCCCTTTGGCTCAGCTGGCAAAGTGGTTTCTTCTGTGCTTTGGTATTCAGAGTGAAAGCTAATGAGAGTCTGGAGGCCCATCAGGAAAATAACAACCAGTTTTATTATTACAGATAAAAGCCAGGCAGAATGAATCGGAAAGTGCCAGGGGAGTGGAGACAGAGGCTCAATTCAGTTCAAGTCCTCAGAAGACACAATGACAACCTCCACTTGGCAACTCAGCCCGGCAGAGTTGGGATTGTGAAGACTGGGGTCATATTTAAACCTGTCCTAACTGAGAGTGTCCTGGGTAAAACTTGAGCCAGGGAACTGTGTGGGTCTCACATCAACATATGCAGGATGAAAACAGTAGAAAAGGAAGTGGCAGGCAGACCGGGGGAGAAAGAGTTCTGAGAATGTGTAAGGAGTAAGGAACTCAAACAGGGCCTGCGGCAAAGGCTGCTCCCCAACAAACCAGTTCACGGAGACAGCGTCACATCAACACCTAGGGAGATGGATGTGGCCTCCGCCATCGTTCTTTTGGCAGTAGGAAAGATTGAGGGCCTTCAGGGGCAGAACCAATCTCTCCAGCTTTATGTCTGACCAGAAATGATTCCATATGGCTGCCATTGAAGATATATTGGTAAAGCCTCTAAACAGAATTGGTTTTAATTTACGACCTGGAATGCTGGGAAAGTTATGATTAGCAATTACTTAAATTATGCTGGACGATTTAATTTCCATTATTAAGCCTTTCCTCACTTAACCAAAGGTAAAGAAATGAAAAATGGCATTCCTTTTTTATCTTAATCTAAAGGATTACTATATTAAATTTGTAAATAGGTGTTCCACTCTAGCCAAACCATCAATGTTTGTTTATTATAATTAGTCTATCAGCACTCCCTTCACAAGAAAACCAGGGGGGAAAAAATTTATAAATGAAAAGGATTTTTATGGGTTCCTAAGAAAAATCAATGAGCTCTTACAACTTAACACTTGATAAAACTGGCCCAGTGTGGTGGTTCACGCCTGTAATCCTAGCACTTTGGAAGACCGAGGTGGGAAGATCGCCTGAGGTCGGGAGTTCGAGACCAGCCTGACCAACATGGAGAAACCACTGTCTCTACTAATAATACAAAATTAGCTGGGCGTGGTGGCAGAGGTTGCTGTGAGCCGAGATCAGGCCATTACACTTTAGCCTGGGCAACAAGAGCAAAACTCCATTAAAAAAAAAAGAAGAAGAAAAAAAGAAACTTGATGAAACTTAAGTGTAACACTAGAAGGGGTCAATAGAATCTATGGGTGTCTCACCTACATACGTTCAATTCACGATGACACTATGACCCGCGTCAGAGTTAATTAGGGAGCATAACTTGTTTTAGCTGGTATACCTGGCTCACTTTTTAAAAAAACAATTTCAATCTCACTTAAAAAATCATTTACTTTAAAAACCTTTGTGGTCCCACATTTTGAAAATCTACAATCTCAAAAGGCCCACCCATATGTAAGCAACTGGACTGAAAACTTCCCATGTGTTTCTTGAAGAGTTTTTAGAAAATAGATCACTTTTCAAACCAAATGCTTAGACGGTCACTATTTTAGGAAGTGAATAATCGCTTGAGAAGTCATGTAAGAGTTGTTGCTACTATCTTCCCCTTTCTGGGATTTAGGGGACTCCCACGTTTATTCAAGTCTCCTTTGCGCCTGAAAGAACGGCTAGCCACGTTTCCAGTCAACTAAAGGGGGTATTTCATTCACGTGATGTGAGCCCAGCGCACGCAGCAGTCTGCAAAATGCCAAATGTTTCTTCCTCACCCTAATTTTCCGGTTCAGTTGAGGAGCTGCTGGGTGCGAGCTTTCGGGCCCTCCCGGGTTAGGAGGCTCCTGTCGAGGACCCAGGATCCGGGATCCGCCCGGTCCGAGCCGCCTTCGCAGCGCGCTCTGCTCGCCAGAGCGCACGCTGCATCGGTTCCCACAGACCGCGATCGTGGAGAGCCCGGGCTCTGGAGCGCAGGAGGGCCGGGGTCCGACCAGCCCTCCGCATGGGCTTGGCGAGGTAGGGGGAGACCTGGCAGCTCAGGGCGGAATCACAGAACGCGGGCTGGGCTGGAGCGCTGCGGACCCGAGAGACAGAGGCGTGGCACCCCGGATCCCGAACCCCGCACTGGCTCGTGCCCAGAGCCCGGCGGCCTGACACCGGACGCCGGCACCGAGGGGCTGTCCGGAGGCTCGACCAGACCTAGACACTCGTATGAGACCCGCAAACTTTCTTCCGGAGCTCGGGCTCAGGGGTGGCGAGAGTAGGACGGAAAGGCTGTCTGGGGACAAAGGGCAAATGCTGGCGAAAAGGGGAGAGACACCCCAGCTAGCCCACAGAGCATTCCCGGCTGCTTCCCCATTCGGGGGACCAGGGCGTGCGCCTCTGGCATTCCACGCAGGTGTCGGGACCCCACGCCCCCGGCGGGTGCCACCCAAGTCCCCGGGGAAGGCTGGGGGTCGGGGACGGGTGCGATCCCCCCTCCCGGGACGCGCGGCGCGGGGCAGAGCGGCGGCGGGACTTACCAGCGCGGCCAGGATGCGCCGGCTCTTCTCGTTGGTGCAGCGCTCGGAGAGGACACCCGGGTGCGCGCGGAGCAGCAGTGCGGCCGCCAGCACCCAGCCCGCTGTCCACGCGGCGAAGGCGAGGAGCGCGCCCCGCCCGCAGCGCCCGCAGCGCCCGCGCCGCCCGCACCAACCAGCCCGTCCCCGCGCGCCCGCCGCCCGCGCCATGGCCAGCCCGGCCCGCGCCCCGGCCCCGCGGCCACCCGCGCCCCTAGTTCTGCACTCGCGTCGCGGCTCCGCGGCTCAGGCCCGCGCGTCGGGGAGGGGGCACAGGGGAGGGGCCGAGTGAGGGTTGGGGCAGGCCCCGCGCCTGGGGCGGAGGTGCGGGGAGGGCGTCCAGCAGCAACACCCCGCGAGCCCGAGCACGGGCTGGGGGGTCCACTCGCCGCATCCCCTGCTCCACCCTCCCCTTTTTTCTTTTTTTTTTTTTTTTTGCACTTTTTTCCCCCGAGAAGACCAGCTCCCCACTTAAACAAAATCCGGGTAGATTCAATCCCCTCTCTCTTTGGGTGCTGATTCCTCCGACTACATACCTTCAATTGTCACATTGCCCGCCCACCCCCTTCTTCTCTGACCGACTGCCAGGTTCCCCTGACCCCCGCGCTTTTCACAGCACACCCTCGCCCCGGGGGGCTGCAGCGCTGTTCCCACCCATTTACCTCTCCTCTAGAACCGCCCTCCTCTGAGTCTCACCCCAACTTGGGTTTCCTCCGGGCCCTCCCGGGAGTGAGATCCGGAGCGCGCGGAGAGTCGGGGGTCGAGGACAGTCAGGAGGTTCTGGGACTACCCAGCGCTCTCCTTCCCACGGGCACCCCTGAATCAAACCCCCGCCGTCTCCTAGGCTGGAAAACTCGCTGGCGTCCTCTTCAGGGCTACAAAGAGCTGCTCTGGAAACGTCTCCCCGGGGAGGAGAACACGTCCACCACGTGTGTCTAAATCTGTATTTATAGATTCGCAGTATCATCTGGGAGAGCAGGCATCGTGTTCGCATCCCAATCGTTCTGTAAAGCAGACGGGCCCTGGGCCCACAGGGCGTCCCTGGTTCTCACCAGCATCCCCCACCCCACCCAGGGATGCTTCTCACTCCCCGAACGCCTTTCTCCAGGACACAGGGAGGTGGCACCGCCCCAGGGGAATTGTCACAGCTGAGGGACCCTGAAAGCCGGCACGCCCGGTGGCTCCTGCGTTCACTGAACAAAAGCTTATTCAGTGCCCAGTGCGTGCCAGCCCATCCCGGATCGCTCTCCCGCCTGCCCTGCGCCTGAATTTCACATGACCCATTCCCGAGTTTAGAGATAATGGAAACATGCCCTGATCACGGCGTGCCGTGATTGTCCCACAGGAGCTGGCTTCTTGCCCTTGTCTCTTCTGCAACTCGCTGGTTTAACTTTGTTTTATGGCTGGCTCGGCGGTAGGAGTCCCCAGGAATTAGCAAACATCGGGTTAACAAACCCTGAGCCCCAAGAAGCACTTTGGGACACCACAAATATGCCCCGAATGCAACAGACCCTTGGGGTTTGGGTATCACTCAATGAATAGCAGTAAGGTCGGGTGAAGCACCCTCTGTGTGAAGGTTCCCCCACCTCCATCCATCCCAGCAGAGCCCAACCACAAGTACCTTATTTTAATGGGCTGGCTGTATGGAAACTGTTGTTTCATTTCAAAATAGGTGTGGAGCATAGAAAGCGTCCTAGGATGCTGCATTAAAATCTCAATTTGAGGCCAAGTCTGCTGGCTCATGCCTGCAATCCCAGTGTTTTGGGAGGCCAAGGCAGAGGGATTGCTTGAAGCCAAGAGTTTGAAACCAGCCTGGGCAAAAAAAAAAAATAAAATAGAGGGCATGGTGGTGTGGGCTAGTAGTCCTAGCTGCTCTGGGAGTAGAGGCAGGAGGCCTGCTTGAGCCCAGGAATTTGAAGCTGCAATGACTGTTATCACACCACTGCACTCCAGTCTGGACAAGAGAACGAGACCCTGTACCTAAAAGGAAAAAAAGAAATCTCAACCTGATGTGAAGTTGTTTTCCTTTCCCAAGAATTGTATTGGGTGTGGGGAGGGGAGCATAGGAATGGGAAGAATGAGATGAAGAAGTGTGACTACTTATCCTTTAAAACACAGGAACAGAAATTACAGGGGGAGAAGCAGAACTTGAAATCAAAATTAACCACATTCAGATCTACATGGTGTTTTACTTTTGTGGGTTTTAAAAATCCAGTATTAAGCACAATTCTTTTGGCATTTTATAAAGTATTCGGAAGAAAATAAAATTATAATCCCGCAGTAAAGAAATCCTTTTCATAGTCAGCACTGTTTTAATACAGGAGTGACAGTGCTCTCTAGCACAAGGTGGAGAATACAGCCTGGGTTGATACCAACAAAAGTTTTATTTTGCAGTTTTGCCTTTTGAAACTGTGTAGCTTGTAAAGCTTATGAACTGTTTTGCACTGATTTAAGGTAATTAGGAATTTTTGTAGGATATAGGCAGGGATTTAGCATCAAGATGTTCTTTAGAACACAGTTTGTAATAGCAACATTGGAAGTAACCTACTGTGCACCATGAGGACTGGTGAAATAAGCCTTAGTCCTCCGCTGGTGGGAAAACGATGCTGGCATAAAAACTGTAATGTGAGGTCTATGTGGACAGGAAAGATACTACAGGAGAAATTTGTCGTTTCTCCTTGTCCTGCGCCTCTTCCCCTTCTCCTTGCACAGAGTTTCCTTGGGGAATCACACCCTCTCAAGCTCTGACCCCAGCTGCAGCGCCAGCCCAGGGTGGGCTCCTGATCCCTGGGCTGAGATCAGCTTCTCATTCCCCAGTCACACGGGCGGGTCAGGCAGCCCAGGCCCCAACACGCCAATCCCAGCCAAGCACGCGGGCTTCTCAGGCTTTTTCTGAACAGTTGGGAAAGAGAAGCTTTGTTTGGGCTGAGATGGCCAGGCTCTGAGGATGTGGTGGCCAAGAGTCACCACAAGGGGAGAATCTGCCGAAGGGGAGGCCAGCCCAGAGGAAGGGGGAGGAATGGAGAGGGACTTCTGAGGATGTCCTTCAAGTTCCCGACTTTCCAATTACCCAAATGATACATTCTCTTTGTGGCTTAAGCGAGTTCGGGTTGGGTTTCTGTCATTTACAGTGGAAAGAGCCTTGACCAGTACAGATGTTCATGATATCAATGAGTGAAAAAGCAGGTTCCAAAGCATTATGTTCCGTGTGATTCCATCGTACTTGTTTTTTGTTTGTTTGTTTGTTTAAGGCATACCATATACTTAATGCAATGTACACTCACACAAAATCTGAAAAGTGGCATGAAAATGTTGATAGTGTTATCTCCAGGCAGAAGGATTGCAGGTGATTTTTATTTTATTCTTTTTGCTTGCTTATGTCAGTTTTCTAATTTTATTTCAGATAAGCACACATTCTTTGTGTAATAGTAAAACCATGTTATTTAAAGAGGAGAATTACCCAAAGAGACTCAGATATGGGAGTCCTGGCCTCTGCGGCTCTGGTCCGTGCAGTTGCTCCAGTGAGCAGGACGTAGGAGAGATACAGCCTCAGCCATACTGAACCACTTTGAAGGCTTTATTGCTTCGTCCGCTGTGATCTTCCAGTTATGTTCATTTTTCTGTAATAAAGCTGAACCTGGTAGGAGTTCATTCATTCATTCATTCAAAGCACTACTGAGCACCTCTATTTTGACGTCAAAGATATAAAGATGGGAGAAACTGGGCTCAGCCCTCTTTGGTGAGGGAGACCATCAAGCAGCTCTCTCCAGCGGGTTCTGTGCAAAGGGAGATGCTGCGTGTCCATCACTGTCTGTCCCTTCCACTACCCCTGCCCCACAGGGCTCTGCCAGAGCCAGGGCTGCTGCTGCTGCTGCCCTCACGAAGGCCAGTCCCAGGGCCACGGGTGAGGTCTTGCACTCCAAATGTCCATAAGGATCCCCAAAAGGACTTGGGTGAGAGCCACAGCAGAGGAACAGTAGTGGGCCAAGGCACAGGATCCTATCATTTTTCTTTTTCTCCTGATGACTTTTCATCTCATCATCTTGCAGGCCTGAGTAAGTCTCTCAACCGTCTGCCCAGGAACTCAGGACAACAGCTCTTGCCCCTCCAACTCCTGCCTGTATGATGAGAGGATACACATTCTTGAGCCTCATGCCTCCTCTCTTTTTTTTTTTTTTTTTTTTTTTTGAGACAGGGTCTCACTCTGTTGCCCACGCTGGAGTACAGTGTTGTGATTATAGCTCACTGTAGCCTCCGACTCCTGGGTTTAAGCAATCCTCCTGCCTGGTTAGGATAATTTTTTAAAACTTTATTTTTTGTAGAGATAGGGCTCAATGTGTTGTCCAGGCTGGTCTCAAACTCCTGGGCTCAAGCAATCCTCTTGCCTCTGCCTCCCACAGTTCTGGGGTTGCAGATGTGAGCCACTGTGCCTGGTCCATGCCTCCTTTATAAGGGGAGGGGGATCATAGCTCTTCCATACGTTAGGTTTTCAGACTACCGGGTTATAGTCATCATCTTATTTATTTATTTATTTAATCTTGAGACAGAGTTTCACTCTGTTGCCCAGGCTGGAGTGCAGTGACATCACCACAGCTTACTGCAGCCTCCACCTTCTAGGCCCAGCCATCTTCCCATCCCATCCTCCTGAGTAGCTGGGACCACAGTTGTGCATCATCACTCCCAGCTAATTGAAAAAAAATTTTTTCTTTTTTAGAGATGGGGTCTTGCTATTTTGCCCAGTCTGGTCTCAAACTGCTGGGCTCCAGGGATCCTCCTGCCCTGGCCTCCCAAAGTGCTAGGATTACAGGCATGAACCACCGTGCCTGACTACTATCATCATTTCTAAGCAGATTTATTGAGGTATAATTTGTATACTGTGAAATTTCCTGTGTTTTAGGCATTCAATTGAGTGATTTTCAATACATGTGCAGAGTTCTGCAGCCATCACCACCACCGTGTGACTGTGGAGTGTCTCTATCATCCAGGAAGCTCCCTCCTGCTCACTTGCATTCCCTCCATGCTCCCACTTCCAGCCCCAGACAACTGCTAATCAGTCTCTACAGCTGGGATTTTTTGGACATCTCATATAAGCAGAATCCTAGAGCAGGCATCTTTTGCACCTGGCTTCTTTCACTTAATGCTTTTCAGGGTCATCCGTCTTGCACCATGTATCACTACTTTGTTC